AATTTTTTTATTTTTTATGATTTGACTATTCTACTATCATTCAAATTTAATGAGCAGTGCATGGGACATAGCAAAATAACATCCTCTTACACAAAACTAAAAAAAATCTAGAAAATGTCTCTAAAGAGCCAAGTAATGCTTTTGTTATGAATATAAAAACTTAGCCTAATATAACACACCCTTTCATAGTCATTTTTATGTTAAGTTATCATGGCAAATGAGTTATTTATGTACAGGACACCAAAAGGCACCCTACAGTAATATTGACCCATAACCATAATCTCTAGAGAGTCACTTCCTGAGCAAACTTCCTGTTTCTGATATGATAATGTCATATCATATACAAACAGAAACTAAAGGACTTCACAGCAACCCAGCAAAATAAAAGTTAGGTTTAAGTTGAAGAAACAGTGACAGAAATATATTACTTAATGTAATGATTGTACTACTACTACTAATGATACAATTATTATTAAAACATTATTGTTTAAGGAATATTTACCAGAAAAATTATTTTCCAGAAAAAATTTAAAATGTAAAAGTATTTCTGAAAAAATAAATAAATAAAACAATAATAAATGTATTTATTTATAAAGTCAATTAATTAGAGATGCTTTTTATTATTACAATTTAATTATATTAAAATGGAATCCAAAAAATTCAGAATTTGGTAAAAATTTGGAAAACAGAATTTGGTAAAAAAATAAAACTTAATTTGAGGAAAAAAAATATACGTATTTATTTAGGCCTTAAAATGTCATTTTTGTTAAACTTTTAATAAATTGCTGTTAAATTGTGTATGTTTCATGATTTCAGTTAATCAGACCATTAATATTTTATTAATTTAACCATTAAAACTCTAGTCTAGAAAAATGAATTAAAATGGAAAAAAAATTGAATAAAAAAAATTAAAACGGAAGAAATGGAATTTGGAAATGGATAAAACTGAATTTTGAAAAAAATAAAATGGATTTCATAGGCCCCTACTTGAGCAGAAAATCAGCATATTAGAATTATTTCTGAAGATCATGTGACACTGAAGAAGAAATTCAGCTTTGTTCACAGCAATAAATTACATAAATGAAAGTTTTTTGTAATAATATTTCACAATACTACTGTTTTTTACTGTTATATATTTTGTATTTAATATTATCTTATTACATAATATTGAATTCTTTAATTTAGCACAGGTTTGATGCTCATTTAGCACAGATCTGAGCTTATGCACCTCAGTTTTTCCAAAAAGAAATATAAACCTTTGCTAACTGAAAAAAGCTGACAAGAAGATTGAACCCACAGTTTGGTGATAATATTGCATAGTAATGCTAAAAGGTCTGAGACTTTTGACCATAAACACTAAATTAGGTAAAGGATTTTCAGCACAGCACAAGGGTTAAACATGGTTTCTATTTAGGGAATAGTCATCATATGCACCTCCTCTTTTTTTTCTTCTTTTTTTTCACACAGTGAATGTCAATGAGGTCTGAAGTTGTTTCAGCGAAAAAAGGTTTGGAATGACAAAAAGATGAGTAAATAATGGCAGAATTTTCATTTTTGGATGAATTGTCCCGTTTTATTTTGAAAAACAGTTTTGGAAAAGTTTTACTCTTGCATTATTGAAAAGTTTTGCTTACAGACGACATTGTTGTCAAAACGATCCCCGTTCACATGGATCCACGAGAGCGGCTAAAGTCGCTGTATTATTCACGTCAGGCCACTAGTTGGCGATGTCACTTTGTGAAGTAACACTATGCACCTGCGCACACACACTACCAGTCAAAAGTTTGGGATCAGAACGATTTTTAATGTTTTTTACAGGAGTTTCTTCTGCTCATCAAGGCTGCACTTATTTGATCAAAACACAGGAAAAAATTAATATTGTGAAATTATATTATGATGTAAAATAACGTTTTTCTATTTTAATATACATTAAACTGTAATTTATTCCTGTGATGCGCAGCTGTATTTTCAGCATCATTACTCCAGTCTTCAGTGTCACATGATCTTCAGAAATCAGTATAATATGCTGATTTATTATCAGTGCTGGAAACTGTTGCTGCTGCATTTTTTTGGAACCTGCAAAACATTTTTTCAGGGAATTACAAGTCTTACTGATCCCAAACTTTTGACCGGTAGTGTACCTATACAAACCTCGAAATGTCGCTGTCGTTTAAATGAACAGCCAAAACACATAAACAGTTTTCCGTTTTTAGTATACGAGCCCCTTGATTTTTTATTATTTTTTAAATGAGTGAAGATGCTTTTCTGTAAGTTTAAACCTTTTTAAGCAGCGCTGCAACATTTCTGTAACTATTTCCTACAGATTGGTGTTAATTAGGATTCAGAGCGTCCGCTTCCATCATTAACCGGTCAGTTCTGTTAGTTAGGACCGCCGCGTCGAGGGTTGTTATGACTAGATCGGCTAGTGTTCTGAATCCAGTCGGGATGTGGGTGTCAAACAGTGTTTTGTAGCTTATTTGTATCATATCTGTGTCAAATTTTATCAGCTCTCTCTCTCTTATTGCTCAGTGTTTGCCAGAATGAGGCCTGTCTCATAATTTGACAAACTTATCTAATTATTAATCCGCCACCCATTTGTCATCCTTTGAAACTAATTATATTTTTCTTCATATTGATGCTCTTTTTTTTTTTTTCGCCCTTTTGTGTGTTTTCCTTTTTTCTTTCTTGTCTAAACACTCGGTGGTGTAATATCTCCGGACACTTGCCTCAGGGTCACTTGAAACAAATGCAAATGCAATGGTAGAAATTTCATAATAAACTGTAACTAAGATGATTGCCCTGCCAGCTATTATCCTTCCAGTTAAGTCGTGCGATCCGTCTGTTCTTCCGCCTCGTTATTGCGGCACGACTGGATGTTATTGTAATGGGAGAGAGAGAAGAGAAGACGGCTTTGAATGGGATGAGAGGGGGTTTATCTGAACATTCAATAATCCTTCCTTTATTTCTGTCTGCTTGATTGATGTCCCGAAACAGTCTGATATGCTTCTGATAACAATATAAAGGAGGGGAAAAAAGAGAAAAAGTACGCTCAGAAAGACCACAGAGAAGAGCAGCCCGTGTTTTTTTCGAAGTTATCGAAGGCGAGGTGTCAAAAACAAGCAGATTTCCGAGCGGAGCTTGATGTGTTTGTCATCTAAGACAGTTTTACATTAAAGCGGGTCATTATATTTCCCTGTCATCACCCCAAATGACATTTTTAGAAAGTGACACCTTTACAGTTTGATAAATCAAATTTCTGCTGAATAATGTGCGTTAGTGCTGTCAGCGACACCCACATTCTCCGCAGAGCTACGGTGAGCCTTGCAGGATCCACATTTAAATTTCATCCTATTAGCATTTAATTTCTCTGTAATCCTACACACCTTCATAACACCAACACACACCGGGCTCTCCTGCGTTCGAGAGCAATCTATAGCCCTTTATAACTTCCCTCCCTCATCATTCTTCTTTCTTGACAATTAAGAGGCTGCAATCTAATAGTGGAGATATTGGAATTATATCCCAGCCTCTTCCAGAGCCACCGCGCTGGAAATTTCGACACTTTTAGCCCTCGTGCGCATGTTTACACGCGCCCGCACACCCTCGCGATCTGCTGGGATTTATCGTCATTTGTACATGACTGAAGATGTGATTTCCTCAAGAAAATTATTTTTTTTAACCCTGCCACTGAAGCTGTGTTGTTAAATGTTTTTATGTATTGTAGGGCTGGGTGATACCGATATTTTCGGAATGTTTGACCAATTCAAGATAACAATTTAGATTTTTTTAACGTTTTAACTAGTCGACTTCAAAATGTAAATACAACTGTATTAAAACCTTGCTAAACCGACTGGTTAAAGAAAGTTCTGTTTCAAGTGCGGCACACATGAAGTGATCTAAAACTAATTCACTAATTCACTTATTAGCATTGATGGTTCCATGAAGAACCTTTATACCAGGAACACTTTATTTTTAGGTCCATTTCTCGCCATTAACAGACCATTAACTATGGCTTTTGCCTCCGTAAACTCTTAATTTGCTGCTTATTAATAGTTAGTAAGGTAGTTGGTAAGTTTAGGTATTGAGTAGGATTATGTAGAATATGGTCATGCAGAATATGTGCTTTATAAGTACTAATAAACAGCCAATATGTTAATAATAGGCACGCTAACTAGTTAATAGTGAGAATTGGTCCCTAATACTAAAGTGCTACCCCTATACCATCAATGAAATCTTGCACAAAATGTTTATCATGAAAAAAGTTTCCTAAGGTTATGAAAAAAACATTTTTTTAAGATCTGTTCACTAAAAGGTTCTTTGAGGAATCATAAAGGGTTTTTCTATGGCATCACTTCAAAATGCGCTTTTTGGAACCTTTATTTTTAAGAGTGTTCTTTGCGGAAAAGATGCACGAGAGCAAATATTGTGCAAACTTGTCTTAAACATTTTCTCAATGTTCAGAAGTAATACAAACGAACAATTAAAATGCTGTATATTTCTTAGCCAAAATGTAGACATTCGGTTTTCAATGTCAAGGCAAATTTGCAGTGTATAAAAGCTGTAGCTATTAGGCTATTATTAACAGTAAATGTTTTGTTAAAATAAAGAAGACACCAGCAGCTTTCAGCCTGTCACCATCATGCAAACATGAAATATCAAACATGCAGTTTTTCTACGTAAACATGCACTTGATGGACGTCTTGCGTCTTTTGCAGCGTCTTGTGCATGAAACAGCATTCTAAAAACACAATGTTTAAGTTAAAAGAAGTTCAGTTTGTGTCTATTTTTTTTTTCTCTTAACTTTTATCATTGGTGTATTGTCAGCATGTCTAATTGTAATGTTTGCTTTTATTCAAAACAACAATTCAAATGAATCGCTGAAAAAAAAATATGCCCTAATGTAGTGTTTGTCTATTCAGGTTGGAGTCGTCTTCTATTATCTTGTTTCTTCCTAATCCAGTGTTTAGACCGTTTACTAACGTGCTTCTCTGTGGTTCTAGACTCCTGCAGAACAGGCCAAAGCTCGACTCCAGCTGGTGCTTCAGGCTGCAGGTACGACTGCTTTCATTTCTCTTGAGACTCAGTATTCTCCATTCTCTGCTCATCACTGCAAAACTCAACCGTTTGCTGTGGTCACTCATTTTGTGGATATTCAGTATGCATCTGACAGGACTCCAGGGGTGTTGAGAATAAAGATAATTTAATCATAAAATGACTTGTTTTGCATTAATAAGTGCAGTTAATATTACACGTTTATTTCTTGGTAATACACATTTGACAGTAAAGCACTGAGCTTGAGTTGAGAAGCATACAAAATTTACTTTTAATAACAACAGTATCGTGCAAAATCAAATTTTTAGATAGAAAAATAATATATTCTATTCTTATTAAATATACCATTATTCTTCTATAGTATTGTACAGAACTGACTGATAACTTCAGTGATTATAAAAGGAACACTCTTTATGTGTGATTCAGCTGCAAATTGTAGTTTGTGTTTTTCAAGGCACTTTGTGACTTTTCTTACTTCATACACTAAAAAAACGTGCAAAACTTTGACAAAATTAGATTTCTTGATGATTTGATATTTTATTATAGTGGTTTTATAATTTCAAAATATAAAGCTAAAAGTAGAAATTAATGACTAATAGGCCAATAAGTTCTCCTCTGCTGCCATCTACTGGTTATAGTGGTAATTTTACATTTCTTTGTTTTTTAATTTTGCATAACTGTTTATTTACCCCAAAGTATATTTTGGTCATTCCATTAAAAAATTACAATTAAATTGGATCATTTTTAGAGCTTTAAAGTGCTGGAAATAGTTGTGTGAAAAGCTTGAAAGTCATTGAAATGTGCTTGAATTTCTCTCTCAAAAGGTTGTACAAACCCTGAAATGAATAATGTAATAACTTTCGACTATTTCTGCCACAGCAGCATGGTTACAGATAGCGTTACTGGTTTTCTGACGTATGTCAGCACTGTTTGATCTGTTTATTACAGAGAATTCTGGGCAGAATTTGAATGCTTCTCATTAGATCTTGCAGCAAGCTTCATTCATTCTGCAGCGAATTCAAACGCTTCTCACTGGATCTCGCAGCACTGTGCAGTAATAGTGTCACGAAATCAACACTGGTTCCCCAGTAAACCTGTTCTGAGCTCGGACCTGTTTGCTTGCGCAGCTCAAACGACTAGCACGGTTTCGTTACACTTTTGTTTCTTTTGTCGTTTGATATTTCTCATATGCCTCAGAAATGGTAGCGCTTACGTGTTGAACAACGCGGCGGCCAGTGCAAACGCTCACAAAATGTTGTCGCACCGGCAGAAAATATGGTCGCTCAAAAGGTTGTACAAACCCTGAAATGAATAATGTAATAACTTTCGACTATTTCTGCCACAGCAGCATGGTTACAGATAGCGTTACTGGTTTTCTGACGTATGTCAGCACTGTTTGATCTGTTTATTACAGAGAATTCTGGGCAGAATTTGAATGCTTCTCATTAGATCTTGCAGCAAGCTTCATTCATTCTGCAGCGAATTCAAACGCTTCTCACTGGATCTCGCAGCACTGTGCAGTAACAGTGTCACGAAATCAACACTGGTTCCCGAGTAAACCTGTTCTGAGCTCGGATCTGTTTGCTTGCGCAGCTCAAAAGACTAGCGCGGTTTCGTTACACTTTTGTTTCTTTTGTCGTTTGATATGCCTCAGAAATGGTAGCGCTTACGAGTTGAACAACGCGGCGGCCAGTGCAACCGCTCACAAAATGTTGTCGCACCGGCAGAAAATATGGTCGCAAAATGCAACCGTTTGGCTGCAGTCTGGAGCCCTGACCTGAGCACACTGCAATGGTTACTGTGTATCCCACAATGCAATGTGGTTGACCTGAACTTACATTTCTGGTGTGATGAATGAACTGGAAAAGGCATGTTTTGAACATATGTTTCTTGAATTGCTGTGATTGGAGACATGAGAACTGGACCTAGACGATTGCTGGGTTAAACACACAACCTGCTATTTGAAATGTTATTGTTCTGCTTCACATACAGCACTACATTTAGAAAATAGTATTCAGTGTACAGTACATACTGTACAGTGAACAGTATGCTATTGTATTCAAAATAGCTTGAACCTTAATACACTTGTCAACCACATACATACATAATCCATCAGTTTTTTTTTCTCAAGAGGCTCTATTATATTGTATTATATTATATTATATTATATTATATTGAAAAGATGAATTATTGCTTTATTTCGCATAAAATCAAACTTTGTAAAGTCCATTTAAACTCAACTTGCACTGATGTGTGATGTGTGAGCCAAATAATGTGGCCGTTTATGTATATTTTTAATGTGCTGTAGCCGTATAGTTTCCCATACACCACTTGGTATGACTCTCTGTAAGAAGATTTAAAAGTCCAGACCTCTTCAGAAATCGGAGATATTCTGCACATCACTGTGTAGAGGGTTTTCCAAACTCAACAGAATACGAAGCTTTAATTCTTCCTAGGCTCATTTCAGCAGAGATCTCTCTGAAGCACACATCACGTGAATGAGGCACAAGTGTGTCAGTGTGTGTGAGACCTGATGAACTCATTCAGAAATAATAAGAGCAGAACAAACCCAGCCCTTTATTTATTTGTATGAAATCTATGGTTTCATGAACGGTTATTTAGCTAGATGTAGATTTAATGTTTGTGCTGCAATTCGTAATATAGTAGCTTTGTCAGTGCAGTAATGTGTAAGATTTATTAAATGTTTTTAACGTCGTTAGATTTCTTTAACATTGGTAACGCATTCACTGTGAAAAAAAATGCAACTGCATATTTTCAAGTTTATGAAACCTTTTGAGTCTCAAATATTAAAAAATGCTATTTTCTTGAAACTACGGTACATAAAGACCCTTGCCAGACCAACAGAATAACCCCAAATGTTGTCCCAACTAGTCAAACACAGTTCTCTGAACATAGAATTTCATATTGTTGAAATGTCAAGGCTTTCTGATTTCCCAGCATGCATTGCAGAATGAGTAAATTCTGCAGTTACTGTTATAGGATTATTGTTTTTCTGTTTGCTGGCTTCATTTAAACTTTTTTGTTGTTGTTTTGTCATTATTGTTAGTTGTTGTACTGGGATATAAAGAGCTCATCTTTTAACATTTGTTGATTACCATAGTTCTTGAGGTTTGTGCATCAATGTTTGTTCCATTGATGTATGTTTGTTAGGATAGGACAATATTTGGCTGAGATACAACTATTTGAAAATCTGGAATCTGAGGGTGCAAAAAAATCTAAATATTGAGAAAATCATCTTTAAAGTTGTTCAAATGAAGTTCTTAGCAATGCATATTACTAATCAAAAATTAAGTTTTGATATATTTACGGTAGGACATTTACAAAATATCTTCATGGAACATGATCTTTACTTTAATATCCTGATGATTTTTGGCATAAAAGAAAAATGGATAATTTTGACCCATACAATGTATTTTTGGCTATTGCTACAAATATACCCCAGCGACTTAAGACTGCTTTTGTGCTACAGGGTCACAAATATCTATTTCCTGGATATCTTAGTCTTGAAAGATTTTTTACAAACAAATACAATGTTGTCTACATAAGGTTTCTGTAACAATTCACTGTTTGTCATTCATAAATAAACATGAAATGTATAATGTCGTGACTTTTTACACATTCTATTTTACATCCGGAAAACAGAAACAAATAAATTACCTCAAAGACAGTAATTGTTGTTTCAGTTGCTGTGACAAGAATTTTTCTATTAGCAAAATAAGACAATCAGCATTGCATGAACAAAAAATTTCCTTTGGCTGAACAAAGTATATTTACTGAGAAGAGCTAAAAAACTATTGTTGGAATAACTCAGAAGTCTTACTGCATTAAGTTGCCTTATTTTATTTTATTTTTTTCTTCGTTCTCTCAACTATTTATTTTTAGTTTCATTGTGTTTACAAATCTGGATTAAGATCATCAACAGACAAATCCAAGCAAATCCTCAGTCTATGTTGGAGATAATACAAAATAAAAAAATAAAAGTATAAAACGCTCTCATTGATATAATCCAGTCTGTTTGCCGCTTTACATCAACCATTATTCCTGCTCGGAGGCTTCCGTAAATATTTAGTTTACACATAGGGTTACATTTCAATTCCATTTAATGGTGCAGCACTCAAAAATGTGGTCATGTGTAAACTGTAACTTAGCGCTCATTTACCCCACAACTGGACTAAAGTGTGTCACACTGCAGCTACTACTGACCCCAGATCTGCTGAAGTGTGAGAGAGACATACAAGCAGAAAAACACACATGATCACAATACAGTAGAGAGGAAGAAGGACAGATACTGTGTGAAGAGTCTTAAAGACAGCAACGAATAAAGCAGTCATGGCTAAACTGAATATACTTATTATGATAAAAGAAATGCTGAGCTGTTTCACTGTACGTGTGCAGCTCTCCCTACATGTCAAAGTTGTGTTTCATCGTTTGAGCTCTGAATGCTCCCTTTGTGAGCTTTGATTATGCAGCAGATCTGACAGTCTGCTAATACTTTTTAACGTGCGTTCCTGCGTGTGTGTCTGTGTGTGTGTGTGTGTGTGCTGTGACCCAGCTGTCAGTCGTACAGGAAACATATTAAAGGGACCGCATGCCATACATCATCTAGCAACCACTCACCCAGCAGTCCTCACACACACACACACACACGCACACACACACACACTGCTGCTGCTGGTAGGAATAGACGACAGTAAGCACATGACAAAAACTGAATACCAGGAAATTTGAAGTCAAACAAGAGAACACAGGCTCCAACATTTCTAAGCAGAGGACATGTGACAGCAGGAGCAGTGCTCAGAAACAGAAATCAAAGAGCAGAGAGCGTGAGAAACACACAAGTGTGTGTGTGTGTGTGTGTGTGTGTGTGTGTGTGTGAGTATGTGAGTGTGTGTGTGTGTGTGTGCGTGAGTTAGGGTGTGAGTCTCTGCGTGTGTGTGTGTGTGTGAGAGAGAGTCTGTGTGTGTGTGTGTGAGAGAGTCTGTGTGTGAGTCTGTGTGTGTGTGTGTGT